TGCATTGGGAAGCGTACTACTTCCTCTAAGCCTCATTCTCACCATGAGCCTGCTGTCCATGCCAACCTTGCGCAGACCGGAAGAAACAGAGTTGATGTCCTTTTCGGAAAACCAGGATTTGAAGAGTTTTACGGCAAAGCACGCTGAGACACCTGCACAAATGCATAAAGAGGAGTCAGCTGTTGTGAACAGACCTGCTAGGATAAAGTTAGGCCCGAGTAATACATTGGTAAATAACCTCACAGGATGCGATTAGTCAGGTTTTAACTGGAACAACGCCCACAACAACAAGGAGCCAGTCATGTAATTTAGTTTGGAACACCTGTGTATGATTTCAGTGAATCAAACTTTCAGTGACAGGGCCTACTCTACAGCTGCTGTGCCTCTAGATATCTTTAAAAAGGTCTTGATACGTTGAGCCAAACAGCAATCATTGGGACCAACTGAAAGCAGGCAGAGCATAGAGGTTTACTGCAGCCATGCTCATCAGTGCAAATCAGCCGACCAGTACTATAATACTACATAACAGAAAAGCCACAATGATGCTTGAGCTGATTAAGAAGCTTTGTCTCAGTTTCATAATTGGTCCTCTGAAAGACAATATGTCCCACTCGGCACACTATCACAATTGTTGGTCTCACCAGTTCCACAAAAGTTTAGTTATGAATGTATGTAGGAGAACATAAATATTGGCCCGAAAGACAATCTTTCAGTAGTTTGTCGTTTGATCAGCTGCTCGTCGTTGGCACCAGATCTATGAGGGGAGCTTGGCATGTCGGTTTGTAAGCCGGCTTGCTCATCTATGGAAGGATTAAAGATTTGTGCATTTGTGACTGCCAACTGACTAATTTGCCCAAATGTTTAATTTGTCTAGTAATGGTGTCGTCATTGGAATTGCAAAGGATAATGCTTACAATTAGCGCGTTTCATGAAAATGCAGACAAAGGGTGTGTCGAGGTAAGCGATGAAAGGAAAAAACTAAGATCTAGGCACCATAAATGTACTAGCGCCATGGATGCCAGACGGCTTTGTGGGTGTCCACTGCTTTCCAATTGCTACAACTCAAACACATGGTTAATATGTTGCTCCATTATTTCACCACTAGATTTTGGATGTGAAATTAAGGGCTTTTCAGCCTTGAAGTTTTTGCAACAAAAAGACTAAATGATTACACGCTCTACTTTTCAATGAAAATGAACTGTGTAAAGTATTACGGCTTGCATACAGTTAGGAATCTATGTTGAACTTCACAGTTGCCCTTCAATTAGAATAAAATAAGCCATAAAATATTAAAAAGCTTCAAGAAGATTGTTTAATTAAAAATATAATTCCATCACAAGTACTGATGTAATTCTCCACTTTGCGTAACCAATTATTCAATCTCCGTTCACCCATTTCTACCTGCGATTCTTTTCTACAAAACATAAGTAGGCATGCCTATAAGGCAGAAGCAGGGAAGCTGGTACCTTCTTTGACGAGGTTCTCATTGAACAGGCTGCTCAGAATGGCTGCAGAGAGATTGCCGTTGGCCAGCAGAATTCCTGCTAGCATGGCCAGCTTGTTGCGCTCGGACTCAGTGAAGCCCTTGAGAAACAGCAGCAGCTGCCAAAAAGCAAACAAACACAATCTCTTAGGCTAAATTGAGTTCAGTTTGAGTGAACATTTAAGTCGGAATAACACGGTCCTGAGTTTGACCTTGAAAGAGACCACGTCGTCTTGTAAATATGCCTTTGGCTAAATCGCTACCTTTTTAATCTCCTCCTGAAATCCTTTCTCCAAGTATTTGTAACGCCGGATGAGCTTGTTAAAGACCTAAAGGAAACAAAACACAAAAAGTCAATTCTTAATTTCACTGTGAAAACAGTGGCAATTGTGGAAGCATTTCAATGGCATCTACCTGGGCATATGCCTGCATGGTCTCCATGTCCTCCTGTGCTTTGAAGAGACAGAACTCTGTGCGAGTCATGTCATCCGACAAGGTACCCCCTGGGGCTGAAGAGCAACAGTTTGAGTAATACGCCTCTTATTTTAAAGTCTCATCTCATTGTTACACTTAACATTACATTACATTACATTACATGTCATTTAGCAGACGCTTTTATCCAAAGCGACTTACATTACACTTTAAACCCATGGCTTTTTCACATTTTTGCCCGGGGAGCAATTAGGGGTTAGGTGTCTTGCTCAGGGACACTTCGACATGGAACATTGGGCAGCCTGGAATCGAACCACCAACCTTATGCTTCCCAGCAGCAACCTTATGCTTCCCAGCACACCTTCTCTAACCCCTGCGCCACGACGACCCCTTAACAATGTATAGAGTAAATAAGACAAAGGGTCCTCGTACCCAGCATCCCACCAGCCACCAGGATGTCGAAAAGGGTCTCCACATAGCGGCGGTAGTCAAGTTTGGCACCAGAGGAATCAAGGAACTTCGCGACCGCTTCCAAATCAGTGCCAGATTGGTTCAGACCTTGTACGATGCTTTCCTGGAAATGGGTGGGGTCAAACCTCTCCTTTTCATCTGTTACCAAAAAGAAAAAGTGTTGTTTACTCAAGTTTATCCTTCCACTTCTAGACACTCTTCTTAGACATTCTAATGTTCAGAGTCAAGTCATGTTCAGATGCAACACATATTTTCTTATTTACGGGATTTCAGTTAAATCTTGAAGGTGTCACATTTACGTATGTTTGTGAGCCTACTCTTGAGTGGCAGTTAACAAAAATATTAAACAATATCCCTTTGAAGTGAATGCTTTACCACTAAAGAGTCCGACCAGATGCCCTTTAAAATGCAAATTGTTGAATCAAAATTATTAAATATTTAGCGAGTGAACTAATGGGCATGCTCTTCAGTTATAAAACTGTAAAAATCCCATCCATGTGTCTGTGGTTGCAAACAGGTACGGTGCAGGGTGGAACACGAAGCTGGTACTCTTCGTGGAGCCTGGTGGAGGCCTACTTGTCGGTTAAAACTAGAGCCTCCATACAAGAGCGCTTAATAACTCATGTGAGTCACCTCTTTTCCGGGTTTTGAAACGCTGGCCTGTGAGCGTAGGCTTCTGCTGCCTTTGATTACTCATATAAGACACTCTGGAAGACAAAAACGAGATAGAAGATCAGCATTAGAATGTATTGCTCTTACAAATCAAATATATATTTTTAAAGTATGCATTGGGTATAAAAATGTAGAATATGGAAAAAAATGGTAAGCCTGAACGGTACCTCCGGCCATCTAGTTCACATTTATTTACTAACTAACGGTTTTTTTTATCAGCATCATTAAAAATATAACGTTACATTTAATCGAAACAAACAAAGGAGCAACACTGGAGTTAGCAAATGGAGCATGGTAAACCAAGCCAGCCACCTCTCACGGGTTAACGTTACCTCCGTACACGACATATTTTAGGGAGCCATGAAATTATAATTGAGTGCAAATTTAAGCATTATGTAACGCGAGTTAAATCAGCGGAATGGAATTTGTGTAACAAAGCAACAGTCCGCGGCGTCCGTCTGAACCGCATTAAGGCTAACATTACGTTAACGTTTCTGGTGCTAACAGGTCAAACGACGTTAGTCAGCTTAACTTATTTTCAAAATGTGTGTTAATCGAGTTTTAGCAAGGGGGTATAAAGTGTGACATTAATGAATTGAGGATTGCTTAACATGTTTCGGACACACAGATGTCTAACTTTAGACAACGGAGGGTAACCTCGATGCTAACGCTAGCTTAGCTTAACCAACGCTAGCTGCAGTGGGCCTGACGCAGTGCCGAAATAAACTAGAATATACGACCGTCACTCGGATGAATTGAACGGATACAAACAGCAACCCACCGAAATCCTCTTTATGAGCAAAAACAATCCGTAAAATAGAAACTAATACCACTGGTGAAACGTTACAGTCAGGCAGCGTTGGCAGTCAATTCCGGGGAAGAAGAAAGTGCAGAAGACGAAACGCATGCGCATTAACACTGATTCTATGTGGGCCATCGCACTTGTGTGGGGTAAATACAATTCACAAACTTTTAAAAACTGAGAAAATATTTTTGGAATTAAATAACCGTGCTAAGCGTACTGTACATAATTACTATTCAAGATACTATGGTTGAATTTATCCTCTGACTACTCTGGCAAAACGGATTACTAACGTGAACCCTTGCATTGAACCCCCCTGTACAGTTCGTAGTCATTGTGTTGAATGAATAGGCCCAGCAGAGCCACTTATCTCCACGGCGCTGTGTCAGCTCTAAAATAATGAATAGAGAACACGTTTAAACCAAAGTATTCGGAACTGGAGTCCGTTTCATAGCCATCAGGATCGGTTTAACGAATAGACTGTGTGAAAAAAGCACATTTGTACACATAACGTCCATCTGTATTCACGCATGCAGTATACGTTTAACCTATTGACACACCAAACTGCCCCGAGAGTTTGTGGGCGGGCGAGCATTAAACAATGGGTCAACGAGTCGTTGCTATCTATCATTAAGACACAGGAGGGGGGTGTTGGTTCGGCTACCCGTCCATCTGCATGAAGGGAAACTTTTATGTTGCGTTACGATTCACCTCGTAAAGCTCGGCTTCAATTTATACATAACAGGTTTGGCAGTTATGTTTTCGCCTTGTTTTTAATAAAGACTGCACGTTTAGCCCAATTGTTATTATTTCTGTATTCCAAAACATTTTCTTTAAAAAAAACATGACTTTATCACATTGTATCGGCCCATCTCTTTCTGTCTTTTTTGTTAATTCTATTCTCGTCTATAAACCCATTCACGGTTGTGTTATGCGGGTGTGACGAGTAGCCGTATTATTTGAAATAATAGCGTAGTAGAAAGCCTAGTCTTTGGCACATAATCTGGCAAAAAAAAGATAACAAACAAAAAAATAACTCTGCCAAAATTCCCGACAACATTGAAGGCATCACCGCCCTCCTACACACACCCTCCACGCGCTGGAGGTGATTAAGGGACGCTGGAATAGCCCAGCGCCGCCGCTCCAGCCACTCCCTACGCCCCGGCGCACGAAGCACTCTCCTGGTCCACCCAGAGCTCCGTTCACACGCAGCGCCGAGGTCCAGATGAGAGCCGCGTCCAGCCGCCTCCAGCCCAGCAGACACCAGCCAGAGTAAAGGCAGCGGGGAAGGGGCTCCGGCAGCCACTCCACCACCTTGTGGGACCCTACTTTTTGCTTCGTGGAGTGGATTTTTTTTTTTTTCAAGACGCGAGGGAGCGAGTGTTGCAGAAATTAAAAGAGGCAAGTTTGACGTCCCCCTCCTGTCCCCATGTGCTGCACACTGTAACGGCCGCGATGGTTTGAGTAGTCTCTGTTACTCTGTTCCACTCTTTGCAACTTGTATTCCCCCCTTAAAGTTAACTTTGTATCGTCTTCGGACCATCTGCTCGCCAACTCATTCATACCTCCTCACTTCGTGTAAAGAGGGGGGTTGGGATTTTTTCTTTTTGTAACTTTCTTTTTCTTTGTGTACTGAACGCATCGGTTTCGGAGGATAGCACCGGTAAGCCTCGGTTTATTCCCTTTCTCAAGCCGAACTAAGGCCGTTTTTAGTTAATGGGGAGTGCGCTCGCTAATTGCATACATCTGCGCGGTCTAAGTGGCATCTTTGTAGCTCGCGAGAGTCCCCAACTCTTGCACATTACACGTGTGTCAACTCTCCAGAACTGCAGAGGAGCCTGCCAGATGTGTGTGCAAGGGGGGGGTGAATGAGAAGTGTCACCTCTGGATCACTCAAAGAGGAAATCTTCCCATTCCATTAAAATGAAAATCCTTACATTATGCAGCCTCTGATTTTTGTGGATACTCTCTGATCCACCAGGTCAAAGATCAATGCCGGGGTTTAAAGTGACTGAAGGTGGGTTTGCCCTTCAGGCACACTTGGTTTTAGGAGATCTTAATGCTGCTGCTGCTCACTGGAATAAATTACTGCTCTGCACAGACTGCATGAATGAAACTATTCACCTCACTTGAGAAACATCCCAAAGTTTCCTCTTGTCGGGGTTTACCGGGATCCCCCACGGGGTCCGGCCTAAAACTATAAAAATCAGAGGGGAGGAATGCCGTCTGAGAAGAAAAACTGGTAGGTTTGAGGAAAAAGCAACATCACTTTACTGTATCAAAGTAGTGTGGTTGAATCAGTTTTTTTTTTTTTTTTAAAGAAACGACACAAAATCATTATATAAGAGAAATGCTGCTGCAAAGACAACGTGGATGTAACGTTCTTGGTACAGTAGATGTTAACGGTTTTCTAACTGGAAACTAACAGGGTTTTAAATGTGAGTCAAGGACCACAGAAACTGCTGCTTGTACTCCGTCCAAACTCACTTTTACTTTAGATTCTTTTTCTAAGCAGTTCATTCCAGGCTATGAGCATTTTCACACATTTATATACAAACATGCTTTAAGTTTTGGTTCACGACCAGAAAGCGAAACATAAAATCTGTTGAAACATCACAAATGAATTCTTCTTAAACTTTCCGTCGACTCTTTCAGACGCTCGGCACCACTTTCAATGCTGCAGTTTTCAACTTCTAATTCCATCCGTGAACTTTAAATTCCCCAGAGGATTTTTTTTTTTTTTTGTGATTGTGTCTTTTCTCTTTTGTGGTTTCCACCACAAATATGTCCCGCCTCTGTTGGCCTGGAGTCTCCGCCGGGAAGCCAGATGGGAACTTTATTACCCGCGCTGATCAAACAAACAGTGATGTAAGATGACTGTGAAAGGTAGTATGTGGCAGGCCTTCAGAGTCTCACTGAGGCTCCTGGAAATAAAATAAAATAAGTAACAACCAGTTCGCTCAGACTTGGTTGTTGGCCTCTCCTCGCGGAGAGCTTGTCGACTGGCCCGGCTTCCAGCTGCATCAGTCGTTTTTTAATATTTATTTTTAAGTGCCAAAAGCCTCCTTCATGGACCTTGTTGGGTGAACTGGTGTGTGTGTGTGTGTGTGTGTGTGTGTGTGTGTGTGTGTGTGTGTGTGTGTGTGTGTGTGTGTGTGTGTGTGTGTGTGTGTGTGTGTGTGTGTGTGTGTGTGTGTGTGTGTGTGTGTGTGTGTGTGCGCAGGGGAGCAAAGTCCCCTGGACCATGTTTGCACTTGTCTGGCCGTGCAGCGCGGCGTCGTGAGGCCCGCGTCTCGTGTCAACCCGGCCTCTGCAGAAGTTGACCGTGTCCTTGGCCAAGCCTGCCAAAGGGTTCTGAAGAAGCATCCAAAGTCCTGAGAAGGATAGGAAGTGGAAGCTCGGGCTTCAGCCCCTCATCGACACTTTGTGTTTCACCACCCCCGACCCCCTGCCCCGTTCGGACTTTAGTTTCTGTTTGGAGTTAGACCCGCAAAGAACTTTCCCCGGTGCTGCTCGACTCCCGAGAATTTTCCACCCATTCTATTCTAATTGCAAGTCTCCCCGTGGAGCTCGGGTAATAACCCTGCACGTTCTCCTTCAGCTCACGGCTGCTTTGTTAAGTCCACTACAGCTGCCTTTTCCATTCACTTATGGCAAACCGAGCCAGACAAAGTGTTTGACAGCCTGTTCTGCAGACGACGCCGAGGCCGCTAATGCGGAGACGTCTGGGGAGCGTTTTGAGTGGAGTCATGTACTAAGACCCAGTGTGAAGAGCGGGCGAGTGGTAGAAGGAAAAGAAGAAGAGGCAACCTTGCAGGGATCTCCTGCGTGCTTGTATTTGATGGCTGATATTGGTTTTGCCTCCACGGAGCTGTTGTCGCTCGTAAAGCGCTACAGCCTGGACCTTGAGGATCGCAAAGAAGCCAGTCAACAATGTTCATTGTACATTCTAGAGATTCCATATGCAGGTTTTTTTTTTTTTTATATTCAACTCCACCAGGGTTGTCCCTTCTTTCAAACCGCTTTACAAGTAGACCGTTCGTACAGATATCAGCTTTATGTTGGTGATGGCATTTCATAGGATTCAGCCAGTTGCCTGGCATCGTCCTCTGGGGGCTTTTTGATTGTGTGTATGTGGGGGAAGGGGGGGGGTATAGAGTTTACTGCCACCTGTCTCGAAAGTTGAATTTCTTTTGTAAAGGCTCATAGCGTTCACCTCATCTGTCCATAGCATGTACATGACTCTTTGGTTTTACAGTGTGTCTTTACTACAAACATATCTGGGATGTCTTGTGCTTAATTGCTTTAGGCGAGGGACGTACTGTCCATGCTTATCAGACAATCATTATACGGGACGTGAGCAGGCATTTTAAGAGTCAAAATGTCAGCCGCTTAAAAAGACCTTCGGTCACCAGATTTTGATTCAAACGGTGCCGAAACCTGATCGCCGCGTCCCCTTTTTTCCATCTGAGCCGTAGCCTCGTCCAATGGCGAGGGCCGCCACGATATCGCATGTTTGTTATTTACGATAAACCATATTGCAATTTTCTAAAACTAAAGACTAACTCTTTACTAACCAACATGGTGATGTCCATTTATATGTAAAATGAAAACTAATTTTCCTATATTGTGCGATGAGTCAATGTATCCCTTATCGCGACAGGCCTACCAACGGCCATGAGCAAGGAAGATAAAGAAATCTCTCATGTGACGCTGACAGTGTTCCAACTTTGGCAGGATATTTTTCGGTCATGGAGGACACCGTCGCTAATGGCAGAAAGCGGATGAAGAAGCTGTTTTCTGGGCTGATTCTAAAGCCAACACTGGTCGATGTTCGGTAATCTCAATTCAATGACGGTTTTGTGTGCTTGCTGGCTTAATTATGTCGTGGTTGTTTGATCCTTTTGTCATTTTGATTGCCAGGTCGGCTCACGTCTTTCAGATTTACCAGCCCTCCTGCTGTTTGAACTGTACTGTAAATAAAGCTCAGTGTTTGTTTGGGTGACGGCTTCATGTTTAACCAGGCTGGAAAGTTGTGTGGCATGAACGCCGACCATTTGAAATGCAAATGGCTTTTCGACGGTTCGAAATCGGCAGTCATGTTATCGTGCCCGCGGGCGTAGCGCCGGTCCGAGAATCCAGGTCACTTTGTCAGGCCACAGCTCGCTCTCCGACCCGCCGCCCGTCTAACCCGCCACCCCTCTATCCCGCCGCCCGTCCCTCCGCCCACTCTGTTCGGGCCTCCTCTTTGGCACAAGCCGATGCCCTGCTGCCGAGCCATTAGCAAGTGCTTTAATCTGCATCATTGCCGGCAGCCGGTGATGTTGTGACTCTCCTGCCCACCCCACCCCCCTTGGGAAGGCCAGCGTGACCTGACTGGGGATTTTTTTCTTCTTCTTTTCTCCAGACAATTACGCCGCATAATGCATTTTATTATCATTTGTTTGCACATAGATGCCTCTGTGTTCTCAAACAACCGCTCTCAAGGTAGAATGACGGCAATCATCTCAGTGCAGCTCCCACAATGCACTTTTTCTTTCTCAAAGAGCACATGTCGTTGCGGGCCTGCTTTGCCGATCATGATGGAAATGGCAATTTCCAAATGGCCACCCTTCGTTTCTAGTCAAGCACATGCACCCAGACAAGTAGCAGCCGGTTTGTTGTTTCCACTGTTTTGTATCTTCGTGTGTGTGTGTGTGTGTGTTGCATGTGAAGGCCTGCACGGCTGTTGACCTTTTGTGGTTCAGTGACTTTTTCTCCTCGGTAAGGACAGACATGATCACGTAGGCTCAGGCTGGGGCTTGTAAATAATATATGTACATTTAATGGCGTTTATTTTAATGTTTCTTGATCTTGCTGGGAAATCTAGGTCAATGTCGAAAGCAAAGTGCGTCTCATAATATTGGTGGCGCGCATCGAAATCCCAGGTCTGTCCCATTAAATCAGTCGCGCCTCTAAAAACGGCACATTAATCTGCTGGAATTATAGATCAAACTCCAATTTAAAGGGAAATCCCGGGACTTGTACTGTAATATCGGATCAAAACAGTCGCTCAATCATGTCCTTCTCCTGACATTCAAGGTGCTTTGGTGGATTTCGCAAGCCTGCAGCACATTGCGTGACATCCAGGTTGGGGTGGGGGGTGTTACTGCCAGACGCAGGCCTCTGTTTATTGTACGTTGCTGATAGCAGGGCATGACTAATGGCGGTCGTACCCGGATGTCCTGGGAAAAAAAAGTAAAACTACAGAATCATATTTAAACACTCTCCACATGCTGTTTTCTTATAAGCATATGTTTTACTCACAAGGTCAGCATTTAATTTGCCAAACTTAAATGATGTGTAAACCCCCATCTGCCTCGCGTAATGCCAGTCAGGTTTTGGAGAGCGCACTCTGAAAAGGGAACACTCATCCAGATGAGGGTGTTCGACCACAAGTTTCGCTGCATCGCTGATTCATGAGATTTAGATTTCAGATTAATAGCCGCTAAACCATTTGAGCACACGCAATGTCAACCTCTTAAACATGCATCAAGGAGATTTCATCAATTTCCTGCATCAGAGGGATTGATAAAGCGGGAAAGTTCAAATCCAGTTATTTAGTCTTTTTAGTTTCATCTTTCATGTTATATTTAAAAAAAAAAATTCTTACCGACACAGAGCGGCTACATTGTCTTCTCTCCCCCGCTCAGCAGTGAGAATAATCCCCTGAGTTTAATCAAGGCTGTCAGGTTTTCTGCCCCCCCCCTCCCCCCACCCGCCATTGGATCCAGTACAACGGTTAACAGCAGGCAGCGACTCTTGCTAATGGGATTGTGTCACTCTGTTCCTAGAAGCCAGAGCCCAATCTGGGGTAGTGGGGTTGTCAGCATCCCGACCAGTGCAGACGCAAGCAGAATGCTGGTGGTCAGAATGGACCCGTTCTGTTCCCCTCCCCCCCTCACGGCTCATCGGGGCTTCAGCATCTGTTTTCACTGAGGAGAACGGCTTTATCCTTTTTTTTAAACTCCTGCCTGTTAATACCAGACTAGACTGAGCACTTTCACCGGCCGACGGTAAGGCTCTTACTGTCGCTCCGCTTGCAGCGGCTGGGCAGCTAGCTAACTAAACATTGATTGTGGCGGGCGAATGCATACGTCATTGGAGGCTCTTGATATTCAAGCAAGGTCTGGAACTGCGTGTGTGATTTAAGTACATTTTGTGACTTGTATGGTCATCGCAATCTATTCTATAACTAATGTAATGCCCTTCGGTTACCATCCGTTGTGATATCCCAGCAGAGCGGAAGATTGTTATTTCATGCCTCCGGAGACTCTGCAACAATGTGAAAGGGAAATAACTTGATTCAAAACAACGTTTCGGACAATTGAAAGCAGCTGGGAGACCCGAGTCCCTGCTGGGGTTGTTTGACACGGTGCCATTAGACGGGAAAGTTGTGCACAAAGTTGCCGACCTTACAGGGCTGTTGGCTGACAAGTAGTCACATTTTTCTCCCACTGCTTTGTGCTCGCCTTTGGGTCGAGATGGAGCTCTTACAGCCCTTTTTGAAAACGGCTTAATTGCAATAAAACATCAATCATTTCCAACGTTTTTTCCCCCCTTAAGTGTCGGCCCACCTTTTCAAAAGATTTGTTTTCATGCTGAGTGTGAGTGGTTCTGGAACTTGACACTTGCCTCCCACTAAGAGCCTGGCAGCTTTTTTATGGTCCAATAACACTGTGCCCTGCAGGGGGAACCGAAGCCAGCGAAAAAAGTAATGCGGAAGTCTGTGCGGGGAATCCATTTATATTTCTACAGCAATGACTTGCTGCAAAAAGTTGATTTGACAGCTGATGGAGGGTGTAGCGTCTTGGAGCCAAAGTGAGGGTCTTTTGTACTGAAATGTTGGCATGTCGAGTCGGCTTCCAGTGTCGGCCAATTGTCTCCGATCACATTCTCTATTATCCCCTGATCCAGTGGCTTAATCCTCGAACATGAACTTCACACGGCATGTCTTTGGCTGCATTATTCGTCAGTTCTGCAGTATTAAGCCATGCAGAACATTATATACCCCCCCGCCCCATTTGAAAAATGCATCAAAGACTAAGTCAATGCATATATACACAGTGTGCATGTATGTTTGTGCGTGTACAATTCTGCACCAACCACTGTCCCTTTCTGGACAGATGTCCAGACTTTACTAAAAGAGCAATGGACAACAGGCGACTATATGGCCTGTTGTGGAAAGCCGGTTGCTACAGCAGACATTGGCTTTTAGGTGCAACAAAGCCCTGCATCAAGGCCCTGAATGTATCAGAGGCCCCTCTTTTATCTCCAGCCCTATAGCATTGGGATTACTGTCCAAAGGGAGATTGGAGGCAACACTGGACTGGAAACCGCCTGCCCCAGCAGTGTCTTTGTCATGGTGCCCTCCAGCCCAGATCCTTTACTGGCCTCAAATATTACATTGCTGCAACAAGCAAGAGGGCTGCTGGAAAGAAAAGCCGCCTGTTTCCGTTGGCTATTTTGTTTGATTTATAAGAAGCCCCAAAACAGGAGCAGATTCCTTTTGAGCAGACACCCAGAGGTCAAGGTCAAAGTTCCTTCAGTTATATAATCGCATATGAGACATTCTCACATGGCACGGAACTGAATAGCCAATCAAAAGCCCCCGATTCTCCCCCTGGAGTCGAACCGCTGCTGCAAAAACATGTCCACCCCGGAGTTTGTTTGCTCTGGCTAAGTTTAGGACTGTTTACTTTCTGATCAGAACGCCTCTCAAAAAACGTAGTTGGAGACATCACAATGGATGACAACAAATGTTAGAATAATCAATGTTCAGCAGAACACATCTGACAAAATGTGATTTTTGTTCTTCATATGCAGTCAAAAGTAGTTTTTCCTTGTTTATCAGCCATGCATTGTTTATCTATGTGTTTGTTTGCTTCATTGGCTTTGCACGCCACCCCCGGTGTCTCAGCAACACTGTTTGTCTAAAAGATCAACACGGTATTATAATTTGTAATTTACAGTAAATACAATCTAATCTCTCCCGTGCTCTTGTTTGTTTGTGCAGGAGGGGACACCTGCAGCCAAGATGGAGGTGAAGACGTCACTCCTGGACAACATGATTGGGGTGGGCGACATGGTCCTCCTAGAGCCCCTGTCCGAGGACTCCTTCATTGAGAACCTGAGGAACCGCTTTGACCACAATGAGATCTACGTAAGTCGACCACGTTCAAGTCCTGCCACTGTTCCGTATTCAACTGCTCGTCCCCGCTTCCAGAGGCCGGCGTCGGCTTCCCTCAACGCACAGCTGCTTCTTACGCCTCCACTGTTTGCCCGGTCCCTCGCTCACACCGCAACCGAACCAATTAATGAAGCCATTCACCAAGGAATGTAGACAACTCTGTTCTGAGTGTTCTTGCCACCCGGAGCTCCGAACGGATGAGGGAGGAATGGCCGGCTATCTTTAGAAGCGACTGCGTTGGCGCTTTCTGCTCGCCGTCAGCCTGCATGATTACAGCTCGGCTCCGGCTGCTGTTGGCTCACAGGGCTCCGGGCCCGAGGGATGATGTCACCTCATACAGCGACGATTGCCTTCGTGGCGCGCTAGATATTCTGCCGATATGCAGCCCTGCTGAGGATTGGGAATTGTGTTTTCATATTTCAGATGGATGTAAGCTCAGAGCTTTTTTATTTCCTGTGTGGTTTTGACCTAAATGTTGGGGCACCTACTTGAGCATGCAATTTTAAAATGGTTTATTTAATGAATGCTCCTCCAAAAGGTGCACAATCTTGGCATTTGATTTGACCTTTTTGCTTTTTAGAAGGGACCTTTTTTATGGAAAGGTAAATTATGGCTCCAAATCTATAATGGGGGCTTTTTGGTGATGTAAGCTGCACCTCAAGTGATGACCAGGGAAATCACTGAAGCTTATACTTATGCAATAAATCTGTGGTGTACAACTCTCGCGACCGTATTTTTTTTTCCCTCCATGCAGCATAATTTCTCACAAATGGTCCCCTCCCCAAACTATCATATGACAGCGCACAGCCGAAGAAGCATGGCTTTGTTGTGCAGGGTACGGCATCATGTATCCAATAACTCACTTGAAAGTCAGAGAGAATGAAAATTGCCCCGTTAACCGATGGCCTGTTTCTCATGTTTGACTCGTCCTCTTTATCTCAGCAAGTAGAATCAATGAGTTGTTTCTTTCATGTTTATTTAATCCCTGAAGCCCTCATTGTTTTAACCATGATTACCTCTGCATTGTGCATTGCATGATTAGATGTAATGGCCTCTTTTTCCATCACAACAAGAGTACCCAATCTCCATCCTGAATGGATTTTCTCAAAGGGTGACTGAAGGTAAAAGTTGCTCGACACAATCACTAAATTTACCGCCCCACCCGTTCTTTAATTACCCTCAGCCTTAGTTCCCAAAGTCCCCCTTTTTGTTACATGGTGAGATCCAGTTCTCCCTTTGCAAGACGGGATAATGATGATTGGCAGAGGCTGAAGAAAACTTGTTTACTCTGCTTTGTGCTTATGGTAGGGAGAACTTCATTTTTGTCCACCTCTCATCTGCACTTGAAATGGCCTCTTAGTGCCTCGGGTGGACTTGTGAGCGAGCGTCTGTGGGAGGTTATGGCGACGCCGCGGGCAAGGCCGTGCTCCACTCTTGTCAGAGTGGCTTATGCAACAGCCATTAGCATGGGAAGCAAGGGAAATGTGCCCGGTTGATGTTTGAGAGTGCTCTCTTGGCTCTGATTTGAGCGTAGGAGGACAATAAAGATGATGACTGGTTCCATTCGCCTTCAGTGATATCAGAGAGGTGTTATCTGTTAAACAGTACCTGTGTGAATGTTACGCAAGAGTTGTTCTTTTCATGCGAGGATGCGAAACTGAAAAGACAGCCTTATATTTTATGCCTTAATTACGGGTTATGTAATTAATGCTACATGCTTCACATTTATTTAGCGTTTTAGGTGTTTCATGATATCTAGGCCTTTTTTTTAAATGGTATTTTGTTATGAATGCTGGAACACATGGAGACAAACACTCCTCACCTTGACCTCTTTGCCATCTATCTTTACTGCTGAGCCCACAGATTCTATACACCTTACTTTGTTTTCACTTTAGGCAACGCGTGCCTCAACAACATATTAAGAACACTCATTGTTAATTCTGCCACAGCTGACACCCAAATGGGAAGAGGGGAGGGAGAGCTGTTGTTGCTCCGGTCTCAGTTGATTCATTCTAACGCGTTTTGTGTCTTCTTCCTCCTCCAGACATACATTGGCAGTGTGGTGATCTCCATGAACCCCTACCGGGCCCTGCCCATCTACACTCCGGAGAAGGTGGAGGAGTATCGCAACAGGAACTTCTATGAACTCAGTCCACACATGTGAGTCCGCCTCCCACATCTCCAAAGTCCCTCCGTGTCCACGTTGATCGTGCCTCATAAGGCTCCATAGAGTTTGAACGTTTGGGCTCTTTCGTGTTGATTTACAGTCAAAAGAGTCTTTGTGTACCAAGAAAAGCGCTATAAAAAACTAAACTGTTATTGTTATCATTTCATGTGAGAATCTGTTTGCTACAAGAAAGAACTGAAGTGGAAAGCACATTTGTCTGGCTAAGTTACAGCAGGTCATTTCTTTTTTTACCACCTCTGTAAGGATTATCAATTTGGACGCAGTGATTAACGGGGGGTGGGGGTTGAGATCAGACGGACACAAGCATTAGAGTCAGCCCGGTGGTCTCGCGGGCCATGCAGAAAGTGCGCCGCGCCATCTGTCCGTTGGCATCATTTAGTGAACGTCGCTGTGAGGCTGCCAAGATCAAACAAAGCCCGGCACTCGTCAATTAGCCGGCCGTGTCTCCAGCCTGTGGCAAAAAACCCCTCAGAGAGGCCGACTGAGAGAGCGAGTGTTCCCTCGTCCCAGAGCAGACGTGCTCCCTGCAAACAAAAGCTATACAGAACTGTCACCACACGGTTTCAAGCTGTTTTACGCTTCTTTTTCTTTTTTCCTCCGTTAAGTAAGTTTCCCAGTTCTTTTATAGGGATTGTTGTTGTATGCAAGGAGTTTTAAAGGCGCACACACTGATGTGCACACACAGACATACATTGGCAGTGTGGTGATTACCTGTTGAAGGATTTGATAATTTAACAGAAAATTTCCGATTTTCAAATAAACTGATTTCTCGGCGTGTGCTGTCGTTTAAACTTGGACATATGCGTTGTTTGCTCTGGTAAATAGTGTATTGCAAAGTGCATCTACTAATAAACTGTAATGCTGCAATGGAAGTGCATGGGGAATTACTTAATTTAAAGAATCTGCAATTGAACCCATAATGTGAAAGCAGAGACGCCAAAATCTCCCGCGTGTTCCCGACCAATTAATCGCCTCTGTGAACTCTGGCAAAAACCAAACATGTGGGTTGCTATAAGGATACTCCAAGGAATGGTTCTATTAGGGAGTATAATCAACATTGTTGCACTGGACAATGAAACATTTTTTATAAAATAAATAAAGTTCTCTGCTCTCAACTGCATTACCACCAGATCATGTAGGCAGTTAGCGAAGGCTAAAGGCTAAATGGCAAATGATGTGTCAGTCTTTGGGTTCAGTTCGTGTCAGTATGGTATGAACATGATTGCACAGTTGCTTCATTCGAAAGCCAGTGATGAAGGATTTAAATGCGCAGAAACGTCAAATAAATAGTGTGTTTATTTATTAGCTGTATGTGAATTTGGCGGCTTTAAATAACGTTCTTGTCCAAGGCATGAAGGATGTAACGAATCAGTAAAATGGGTTTTGACTCTTTCGTGTCTGTCTGAGCCATTCCCACTCATCTGAAAACCACGTTTTAAATGAAGACGACGACTGAGCCGTCTGTGCATCCACACAGTGGACGCCAGGCTGAATGTGTTGAACCAGAGAGAACACGATGCAATGAAATGTATCTCTACCATTCATCGCCTAACTAAGCGGAACCAGCTGCAACGTAACGCCAAGCAAAAGCCGTCCAAACCGGGAGCACAGTGAAGTAGAAAGAAGCCGGCGACGTCTGCGTCCTCCGTGATCGATGACTTCGTCAGACTGTCAAAAGGCAAAGCTTGCTGTTGACTGAATTGTACATCTGGTAAATATCCTGAAAACAGTCTTACCATTAGTCTTTAACTAAAGAAGATTAAACCCTGTTTAATGGGACAGGCTCTTAAACGGAACCTTGAAAGTCAAAAGCAGATTGTATCAACGTGCACCATAAATGAATCTTAATCCCGCGGTCGGGCCATCTGGACCAAGCTTTGGGCTTTGCATTGATCGCCCTCAAGTAGTGCTAAACCCTCACTTCTGATTTCCATGTCATGTCACATCCATGTTTTTCCCCTTGGCTCCTCAAACCTTGGTCACTCTCATGCGATACCGCCGTGTCATCAGTGAACTCATTCATTCGGTCTGGAGATTCAAGATGTCTAAATGCGTAATGAGAAGAGAGATGAAGAGCGATTTGAGTGCAGAACGCATTAACGGCGTGGAGGCCCAATTCCAGGCCCAATTCCGAGCGTGACTCAATAGTACTTCCTTTTGGTATCTAGCTTCACCCAGACTCGGAACTTCTAACTAGATTGCGTTGGTGCTTTACCTTTTCCGTACAATGCCTTGTCTGCATAGTTATCTTTTTCAAATATAATCCCGGTGTCCCGTCTATTTCTGCATTCATGAATAACTTCCGATTCCTGTTGAGGTTTCCAAGCTTGAAGATGTTTTTGTTTTTCGTGACCCTATGTTATGCATGGCTGACCTTCGACTGACCTGAGGGGCTTTATTGCTGCAATGACTGAAGGATCAGTGTTTGGCTTTAATTAAGGAAACACCAGGGGGGGGTCCCAGGCATCTTCCTCTTCCTGCGTCTGCCTCATCAGACACTTGAACAGCACAACGTCAGCAGCTCGCAACAGGTTGCGTCTGGTGAGGTCAAAGTAGTTCACAGGGAAGTTTTCCATAGGCTGTAAAGCTGTAAGATGGATATATGAAACCTGGTTGACTTGCTGTATCCAAACAAATCTTTATGAAATATGTTCAACCAGGTTTTTGTTGTTGTTGTTGTTGATCTAGGTTGAGGCAATAAAGCTAACAAAATATATCAATCAATAAATAAATGGATCATAATTAAGACCATATTCTTGAAAGAATCAAAGTACAATGTCAGTCTTGATCTTAGTTAGCGCTGTACAATAAGATGAACATTTAGTCACATGAGTTATAATAATCAGATATAATAATCTCCCAAACTGACTGAAGCGTGGGGCAATTTTGGGGGGAATTTATTCAAGAGGAAAATAAATCCAGATTCATTCTAATATCTGTATTGGTGCGTTTTATTGTTTTTCTTTTTTAAGCATGACGCTACTGACTCCGTCAGATTTCTCACCTTGCTGTCACTGCAAAGCTATTTGACAGAACAAATAAGTAACGGATAATTGCTGAACCCTGAGACCCCAGTCGCGTTATTAAAGCAAAGCGTCGATAACATTTAGGGCACGTTAATGTGCCGGCAGTATGTCCTACTAATACAAGCTGATGTGTAAGACTCATGCGGAGCCTTAAACAGTCGCTGGTTCTCGCTTTCCACAGAACACGCAGCAGGCTCTGTGAAAAGTCCTCATTGATGCTGTGCGAATTGACTCGCCACCATTTACCGTCGGGCTGAGATGAAAGATATTAAGGTGTCGATAAAGCCTGAAAATGTTTCCTGAGAAGAGTTACTAGTTACAAACGTGTTATCATTTATTTATCTATGCCTTTGCATCGTCATTGCGTTATTGGCGGTGTGTCTGCAACTCCAAGGATGCGCAAAGTACCTTGTGTATGTATCTGTGTGGACAACCACGTCGCAGTGAGAGTTTGCAGGTGTTCATCCATTGCACACCTGCTCCTGTAATCCCCCAGACAAATGGAGGGATTTGTCTGCGTGTGCACGTTGGCAGCAGGGAGAACTGCAGCTGGTCCCTTAACTCTAAACTTGTTAGACTAATTGCCTGTTGAGTTCCATCTTAATTAGAGTTCCGCCTATTGCCGATATACGCTGGCTCCTGCCAAGCCAGAGACCCATGTAGTGCTTATTGACCAATTAAGAAAAAGATTGAAGCGGTTCTCATGCTGTTGTGAATTTCTAGACCTGCAGAGATGGTGATTTTCTTCATCTGAGTGAGAAAACAAAGAAAATGCCTTTATTAATGGAACGCAGATGATGTAACTTCAGGAAAAAAGGATGTGTGTGTGTGTGTATATACATTAGAATACACCAGGAAATTGTACCATGCAGAAAATTGCCTTGAACTGAATGGTCATAATCGTCAAAACAAAAAGTAGCTGGATGAAAGAAGAAAAAAAGTGCCTGGATTTGTGAATGGACTCTCGAGCTGTCCATCATTTTCTCGGCCAATTTGGCAAATCGCTCCTTTGCCCAGATGAGGCACCTCGTAATTAACTGGCAGGTGTTCCCCCCACGGCCCCCCCACCCAGTCTACACAAAGTCGACGCATTAGAGATGAACTAATCAGTGGCCTTTCTCCAGGCACAGCAGCATTACAGATGGCCTGGAGTCCCTTTTTTTGTGTGCCCTCTGCCACCCGAGCCAGACACCGATAAAGTGTGTGTGTGTGTGTGTGCGTGTGTGTGTGTGTGTGCGTGTGCGTGTGCGTGTGCGTGTGCGTGCGCGTGCGCGCGCAGCTAGCCCCACACCTCTAGGGTGGGATCGTATTTCCCCATCGTTTAATGAGGTATGGAAACCCCCGATGCTCCCTGCGCTCAATGCCTAATGGCGCTCGAGCATTGGTTGAAGGGGGCGGGGGGGCATACAGACGGGCTAATGGAGCAAAGAGGCCCCCCGTGCAAGGCCTCTGTCGGGGTTTCAGCTGTTCTGCACAAGGTTGGAACAGCTCGGCTATGAAATCTGCTTTGTTGTCAAGGTTTAACACCTTGGAATATTGTCTCCCAATGATTTGTGTGTTTGGTTTAATTCAGCGTAAACGCGTGCGTGTCCTTGCAGCGCACTTTGTGATGCTACCCAAGCCGCTTGGGATTGAAGCTCAGTCTTTTACTCAGTTTGGCAAAGATTTCAGCCATGCGTTTGCGTAACCGCTGTATTAATCCACAAACTAACATCTCGTTAATATCCCTGATTTTCACGAGCATAATATTAAACCAAATACAGAAACTCGAGTGTATCCAAAGAATTTAAAACGCACTTTACATGGAGATCGACTGGGCTGAAGGAGACCAGAGATCAGTGTGTGTGGGAGTGAGCTACTTGTATCGAGGGCCTGCGTCAAAACCTTCCCTCCACGCAATCCCGTCCTACGCATGTGTGTGTTTTCATTACAACAACTGCCCCAAC